GCCTCAACTATTCGAAGCCATTTAAGTTTTGCAGAGGCCCTGGGGAATATTTAGCGGAGGCAGGGTGTGCTTGTGCCTTGCCACAGCTATTAGTGCATGGGCATTCCCCACGACTGCTGCATCAGTTTATTTGGGAAGTTGTTGCCATGCGAGTACCTGGATACCTACCGAAACCTTCTGAGTAGTTGAGTGGTGGTAACAGCAGAATTTTTTTCACTAGACAATTACTTTGACTTTCAGAGTAGAATACACAAGCAAGTATAAAGTTTCATCAAAACCGTGGTATCCTAACAAAGCTTCTGAATTACTTAACGCATTTTATATGATTATTACCTGATTTATACCACAAGTGCATTAGCAAGTTTAGCCCCTGTCTTCTTGTGCACATAATGAGATGGCTAAAGACATGTTTTGCTCTCATTTTCTTATTGCTTAAGTATCACATTTTCTTTTGGTGACAACAGAAAGCGTTCCAGATCTCAATATCCCTAGAAAAGACATGGAAGCTCTGTCTGACACGCTCAATTACATTGTAAGACATATTCGAAAAACATTTGTTCTAGCTGAATATTAACCCCCCACAGACCACATGCTTCAGGAGAAGCAAAGACTTCTGCAGAAAATCTGTGGTACAGAACGGCAGGGAGCTTGAGCCTGTAATACACATATTCATTCATTCATCATTTCTCTTGACCTGATTTTGTGCTCTAACTTTTCTGACAGCTTGCAAGCGTTTCCTTGGCAATCTAAGTTTGTTGCCAAAGCAGACAAATGAATCATCTATTTACAGTAAAAATGGGGAGCTGCCAGGGGAATACCTGATGCCTCTGCATGCGGTGTGCAAGCCTCAGGCCAGCCGACAATAAAGCCCTTCCTCTCGGCTCTCGGGCATGTGCCACGTCTGCATTGTGGCACCCACCCTGGCGCCAAGGCTGTACAGACCCTCTGCCAGGACCACAGGACCGGTTGGTTACAGTTGTCTTGAAATAGCACCACTGGATGGTGAAGCTTGGGAGGAAAAATCTCAGAAAGCCAAGCTCTGCAGGCAGGACGAGTAGACAGGCTGCCCTGGCTCTCGTCTTAGCCATCTGTGGCTCCAGACAAGCTGCCCCAGCTCAGGACCCCTCTTCTTTTAAAATACATATTAGTTCACTCATAGAGCATCTAAGCCTTCCACAAATACTCCTGCTGTAATGGAAATTATTCTTCTCCAAACCACAAGGGAAAACGCTTGCTTTTTCCAGCCTTCTCTCTGTCCTCTCTGAAGAGCTTAAAATCCCCTGAGCACTGTCAAAGGCACACTCAGCACATGTGCAAGGTGCCCCGGCACCGTAGTCCCCTATTGCTTACCCACGCTGATTTAGTTAGGGGGTGGGATAACCAGACCCCGAGCCCCCCAGTGCGTCCTGCTCTGCCCTGCTGCTCCTCCTGCAGCAGGAGCGAGCTGCCCAGGGCAGGCGGGCACCCTCTGTCCCCCCAAATGGTCCCCATCTCCTCCAGCACCCATCAGCAAGGTAGGCATACCAAGCCTGGTGTTGTATTGCTTTGCTTTGGACGCGGTGGCTCACTCCCTCCTTTCCCAGGACAGCTCGTTGTGAGACCCCAACTGCTTTTCCCTGCCCACCGGGACGGGGAATGTCTCTTGCTCCAACTCACATAATGGATGTCACCACTGCGGCATCCATTTTTATGGGTGCACATCACTTTGGAGATTAGTGCTACACAGCAAGATGAAGGGTTTATAGATACTTCTGAAATCTGCTTCCAAGAATATATGCTGATCTCCTGGATCTCTTCGGATTGGCTCCCCAGAGCCAGGTGTCTCCACAGCAAACGACAGCAGCGGCCACCGCGGCAGCCCTGCCGCAGCCAGCACCCGCCAGCGTTGGCATCCGAGTACTAATCGGCAGGTTTGCTGAGAACGTTTCGGTTTGTGTTTCTGTTTGGCTTCATCATTAAACCCAAACAGGAGGACAAAATACGAGATGTGTTTTTGCTTTACACAGAGGAGTAAGGAAACCCTAATTATTCACAGAAATCTGTAGAAAATTCATAAAAATTGTTTCCTACTATGCAACCAAATTCTATTGCACAATAAAGTCAGCATTGAAAAGGTGTCTAATAATGTCCTTTCAACTACATTTTTCAGGTTAGACTTGGATTAAGCCCTGGAATGGCCGGTTTAATTTCCAGTTGGCTTCCATGGTTAAGCTTTAAAAAATGGCGTGTGAGGTAAATTCATAATTATGGCTCTGCCTTCAGCTGGAACCAGCCAGAAGTGCACTTCTTACTGTAAATTCTGTATTTAGAGTGAGAAATTGTATTTTATTTAGCTCACAGCAATGCTAGAAACAGGCTTTCCTCTGCAGCCTCCCCAGCGGTGCCGCCAGCGGGTGCTCTCAGGGCACGTCCCACACACACCTCCAGAGCTGGATGACACACAAAAAGCACCAGCAGCTGATTTTCTTCGGGAAACACAGGCAGCGGAGATGGCCACAGCACGGAAACTCCCTTTCTTCCCCTTTTATTGCATGGCAGCATGAGAGCACGCGCCTGGGAAGTCAGATTTAAGTTCAGCTCCCTGCTGAGCTCGAGGGGATTCAAAGCCCACTGCACGCGCTGCCGAGAAGAGCCATAGCCATGCAGCGTAACGACGGGGGTGGCACTTTCTTTACGCCCTCCTTATGCGGGGCCATGGCACAAAATTTTTCAGTGTGCCAGAGCTGGAGAGGGGACCATGCTTCCTAGCTCAATGGCTAGTTGCAGACGTGGTAGGGTTTCAGACCCAAAGCTGTTAAAATATTTTATCTTACGCCCATGAAGCTTAAAATACCTTGAAGCAAGATGGCGGAGTGGACTCGCGCTCCTAGAGAAGTGTCTCTTTTGCACTGGGTTATGATGCTGTATTCCCCCTGGAACAAGAAGAAAGGGCAGTGACTCACGGTTTTCCTACGCAGGGCACTGCATCAAACAGGATAAGGTAAGGAGTGCCCCTGCCCCAAACACCCGCAGGGCAGGGCAGTGAGTCAGCAGCCAAGCGATTGTGAAACCCGGGGCTCCCCGCAGGCCGGGCAGAGCAGGAGGCAGAAGTGCCCCCATGAACAGCACCCAGTGGCCCTCCCCCGCCCGCAGGCAGAGGCAGCAGGAGGCAGAGAAACCGTGCAGCCCACCCGCTGCCCAGAGCGGGTGAGATCCCACCTCTCCGCCCTCTTCCCTGTGGGAGTCTCCTGCAGGAGACAGCTCCAAGGACGGAGCCTGAGGGGGCAGGAGAACAGCGACAGTCGGTGCACATCTCCCTACCAGCACTGCGTTCCGGCAGCATTGCCCCAGGCAATGCCACGCAGGGATCTGGTCCCCCTTCCATCTGACAGCCTGGCCATCGGAAACAGGGGCCAGGTTCCATCCCGGGGAAGACAGCACGGTTCCATCACCAAGAAAAAGGAAATATTTGTCACAGTGTTGTAATGGCCCACATAAGCACATTTATTTTTGTGTGCCTGGAGAAAAGGAGGGGGGATGAAGAGTGGGGAGGGAAAAAGCCAAAAACCAAAACAGCGACTCAGAGTAGTAAGCGCAGACTTGAAATTCCACTCCTCTTGGCTTCATAGAGCTTAAAAAAAAAAAATCGAAGTTTAAGAGACGGTGTTTCCTTGGTCAGGACACATATTGATGGACACTATACTTTGTTTTGAGGTTATTTTCCTTGCAAAGGGATAAGTTCTGCTACAGAGAACGAAAAGAGAGGTCTATATTAAAGAAAATTGGTTTTATTGTAAACAAAGTATAAAGTACAACATAAGAAATGTGCAAATCTTTAAAGTAGTCACAAAAAGCGTATCTAATACACTATTTTCAAACTGTTCACTTTCTGATACGTGTCCTCAACATAATATGATAAAATAGAAATAGTGGAAGTTGATGCATTATTTGTCACAAAAGCTACAGTTTAAATTCTAGGCCGGTGTCTTTACTGCCTCATTTTACTTTTCGAATCACAACTTTCTAATTTAATACAATACATAATATATCCATTTCATTTTTAGTATAAACCATCTTTCAAAGAATAACACGATCAAGAAGCCTAAGGTTCTTGGTTTTCTTCCTTAATCAACCCGAGTAGTTTACAGTTACGACGCTTCTCTTAAAAGTGCACTGTATCCCTTTATGGAAAACGCAGTGGTACGGAACTGTGAGAAGGCATAAAGGAAACCATAAGCAACACAAAAGCAGAAGCATCATACGATGCCCAGGTACAACCAATTGTAATAATCACAAAGCTTGCCAAAGAAGCTGGGAAAATACTACAAAGCTAATGAGGATTCAGAAACATTCCTACCCTCCAACTGCCCGCGTGGTGCCCCTTCACGCCCATCCCAAGCCCCCCTGGACAGCAGTATAAAGCTTGGTGCATTGAACACCCCGCGCAGTAGGATAGGTCTAAAATCTCCAGGAGTTTGGCACCAAATCATTGACTGGGCTGGAGAATGGATAGGAGGAAAAGATTCCTACCAAGAAAAGGTGGCAGAAGTAGGAAAACCAATTTAGATTATCTTACGCAGGTGCGTTCTGGGCTTTCAAGCCTGTGCCCGTACATTGCTGCCTTCCTAGTCTGTGTTGTACTGAAGACTGACAACCGAAAGTTAAAATTGGAGTTGGTCTCGAGCGTCAGCAGCAAACCTTCAGTAACGCTTACGTGTGACTGATCTAGAGTATGTATGAATAATCTGCAAAATTCAAAACTGGCACAACGTGTGCTGCTCCGCTCTAGAACCTTCCCTTTCTCTCTCTCCTTACCAGTGCAAAAGACACCCGCTATTCCAGTCAGCCACCGGTTCTCCCAGCCACATTTTTTGTGACTGAGCACAGGCTGCCTTTGCCTCTCTGCTGCACTGCCATCAGCAGCCGGCACGGGAGAACCGCAGACCGGGAGCAAAAGCCTTTCTTTAGCTGGTGTATCCCAGCGACAACAGTTAATTCCACTGCCTTCAGAATAAGTCCTTTCACTGCGTGGTCGCAGATGTTGGCGGCACGGAAATATCGTTTAACTTGCTCACTTCCATTTGCCAGTTTGGTAACTTCTTAGCTGATAAGTGGCGACGCGCATGCTTCGTTAAGTGGTCACTCCTCATGAACCGCCGCTCACACATCGGGCAGGCAAACTTCTTCTCCCCGGTGTGCGTTCTGCGATGGCGCGACAGTTCATCAGACCGTGCAAACCTTCTCTCACAGCCTTTCCAACTACAACTAAATGGCTTTTCTCCTGAAAGAAAAAAATTACAAATTAAAAAACCCCATGAGTACTGACTAAGCAACAAACACTACTGCCTTGACTGGCAGGATTTTTTAAAGAAAAGTTTCTATGATGACGGTTGAGCCAAAAATCAACATAAATATTAATTATTTTTACATAGAAGAAATGTGAAAAATTTTTTATTTACCAATATTTAAATATGCAGACTCACTATCGCCAAGGCTAAGTAGTACAAAGAGTTAACAACTCTCTGGAACCAAATAGTTTGAGATGTTCTTTAAGTCTCAAGACAGCTGATTTTAACTCTCAGCTCCCTCCACGTGAACTGCAGATTACGACAACTTAGCAAAAACTACCCTCTGAAACGCAATCTGCAATAACATTTTATGTAACAGAGCTCTGGGACTGCCTGTGAGCCTATGTGAAAATACATGTGAGTCGTCTTGCTACTGCGATTAAGAGCTGAGGCGTGCAGAAGTTAGTCTAAAATAACCAAGTTAGGAATAGTCTGGAATGGATCCTTACATTCTTTCATAAAAGAATCTCTTTAGGTTTTACCCACTTCTGACAAAGGCATTCTTGTGGAGAAGCCTAATAAGGCGTCTTTAACTCTGGAAAAGCATACTCTACATTGGGCAAGGCCTTGCTTCCACACTCGTAAGAAGCGTTACTGAACGCCTTCTGACATGAAGCAAGGCCAGCACAAACAAACTGCTGAGTCAACTTCCCCTCCAGGAGATTTCCTGTCAGAGATTAGGCAGTGTTATAATGCATGCTGGCAAAAAAGGCATTTCATTGCTGCCCTGCAATTTGTTCCATGAACAAATCTGGCAATCGCTAGAACCTTAACAAGTTGTGTATATAGGTGCAATTTTCGACATTAATTTTTAACATCCAGCAACAGTGACCAACCTGTGTGTGTTCTGACGTGAGCCTTCAAATGGGAGCTCTTGAAGTATGTTTTCCCACACCCTGGGTAGCTGCAAATGTGACTTCTTATTCTTGAAGAATCAATGGGAGGCGTGGTTTTTGCTGCAGACGGTGCGAAGCCAGGAGCAGGGGCAATGGGAGAGAGTCTCGTGCCGTTTGGACTAATAATGGGAGCCTTTGTGCTCTGCACAACTGGCTGGGGGACAACGAACATAACAGCACCTTTGGGAACTTGGGTGCCCATGAAGACCATGGGCTGACAGAGAGCAGGCTGCTGGCTCGGCGTGGCGTTGGGCACTACGGCCGTCACAACGTTGTTGTTTGTGGGCAGCGGGACCATCTGGCAAATCACTGGCACGGGGGGGGCTCCACTGCCTTGGGCAGGGCACGGCGGGGCCACCCCCCCGACCCAGGGGCAGGCTGATGTCTACTGACCAAGGGCCTTGTCAAGGGCGCCGGACTGACAGCTGCTGCTGCGGTTCTTCCTTTTGCCACCGACCCATCACTGGCTCTGCTTGGCACCACGGTGGAACACACCGCATGTTCTGCTTCAGCGTTTTGTTTACCGTTTGTTTCCCTCGAAACACTGTCTTGGTATTTCAGGACACTGGCTGTTCTCACCGGGCAGGTTTTGCGATTACAAAGCTGGGCATCAGCTGTGTGGCGGATAACACTCGTTGCTCGAGCCTTCGGAGGACCGGCTGCTGGAGGCCTCTCCGCCTCTCTCCGAGGTGCGGCCAGAGGAGGCTTGGCAACCTCGGCCAGCGACTTGCCGAGGGCTGCAGCAGGCGCCGGTGCCCCAGGATGGACCACCTGCGACATGTCCAGGTCTGAAGGGCTGTAGGGGGGGGTCAGGCACTGCGCGGGGAGACAGACACAGGGAGGGGGGCGTGTTACCAACACATTGCCAGACCGAATATTAAAAACAAGCACACACACATACAAATTCAAAAACTTACAAATGTTGGTATCACATTAAAGTCGGCTGCTCCAGGAAGCAAAGTCTCATCACTCTCTTCTGACATATCAGATGCTGGAGTTATAGGTCTCATTTCCGCATGTTTTTTGAAGTCTGATTTCCAGTTGCAACTCATAGAAATAAGGGCTTCTACAGCCTCATAATCGCTTTTTTCAGGAGTATGGTTCCAGAAATACCTAGTATCTCTCTGTTTCTCAGTCATCATCTCCATTTCTTCCTCCTGTTTCGGTTAGAAGAAATAAGGAGATTTTAAACCTGATGCTAAGTTTGAATATTTTGCAATGACTTATAAGAAGGCATCGTAAAAAACAAACAATGTACAAACCAAACAAAGTAACTTGTGTAAGATAAATATGCTTGGTCATGTGGGGGGGTATGCCTGTATTTTCCTGCCCTCTTTCTTATTTATGTAATATTATTATGAAGTTGTTAGTGGGGAAATTTGGCCATCTGGTGAAGATTATGTATTTTCCTGAGACAAAAGAACTCCCCCCCAAATCTTAAGCAACATTTTAAGTTATTCCATATTGCAAGTGTTGTGTCTGAAAGCTTAACAAAAATCTTCACCCAAAAAACCCCAAAACTTCCTCCCCCTCCTTCCATTTTTGCTTTAAACACAGCCCTCAGTATTGTGCTTATTTTGACACATGAGAAAGGGCCATATTGGGACCGATGCACATTTTCTTCAAAAGGTATTAGCTACCAAAAATGTTCCAGAAAATACTCAAAAGGTCTCTCTCTCACACACATGCATGCAAGGAAAATCACCAACTTGGAGAACTGAAATATATGTATGTATATTCACTATCTGGCCGATAACCACACGGAACCAACCCACGCAGAAAGCCTCCTAAGCTCTGTGTTCCACCATTATCCCTAACACAGCTTCCGACTTCTGAGAGATGGTGCCCGCCACTGCTGGCGAATTCCACC